ATTACAGTAGTAATAATAATAATTATTTAGTGTAAAGTAATAAAAGATGTGTGACGTTACGAGCGACTCGTGGAATAAAAAAAAAAATTGAAGTCAACATTGATGAGCACAGTGACGTGGACCTCCGAGTGTCTTTTTGTTGGGAAATGAACAGCTCTATTGATACAATACATACTGATATAGACTCAAGTGTTACCCTCACATGACGCCGAAAAGCAGACAGCCATGTATACGGCGTCATTAACCGCCAAGCGCCATGCTGTCTCACATAGAGGACCTTAGCCCAATTCCCGAGAGGGGAGACATTTTATCCATCCAGAGTTTCGGTCTTTCAGTTAAGACGTCATAATAATGTTCCTCTGGGAATGTTTTGTCTACGTATTGATATAGATTGTAAGCGCACAGAGCTTGCCGTTGAGCGGAAATTTGCGCTAAGCATATGTGAGGCAGCGTGGTGGAATCAGGCTCTCGTCAATTTTTGGGCATGTACAGTTATAGGTATTATCTTAAGGATTGTTCAATTGTCTTTATTTGGGTAGAAAAAATATCCATTTATCTTGAATACAAGTCGAGATATTTGCGAATGAAGGAGGTGGGGTCACCTGTTTTCAGGGGTAAAATTAGTGAGAAAATAGCGCCAAAGATGAGTTATGTCCTTAGCTTGAGAGTCCATGGAAACTGAAAGTTTACATTTATGATACCTTTAATCAGCGTTTTTCAGAAAAATCCACACCGAAATGAGTTCTTTAACGGGCATGAAAGGTGTTGAGCCAAAAAACAAATATTTGATAAAAATTCACAAACCTGCAAAAAAACCCACAAGTTTCTTCAATTTGATGATTTTGACGAGAGCCTGATTCCACCACGCTGCCTCACATATTATGATGATGATGATGATGATGATGATGAGGATGATGATGATGATGATGACTATTATTACTATTTTTATTATTAATATTATCATGATGGTTTTAATGATGACTATTATAACTCTGAATGTATTTTTGGTTAGGAAAACAACAAACAACTGTTTGGTTAATTAACATAATATGATGATGAGCACTATGCTTAAGAGACAACTTTTAATTATACTTGTCACGGAGTGGTAAACGAGTGAAAGTGTGAAAGTGTAAAAGAAAAGTGTTCTTTCTCTCCCTTTTTTTTCTTGTTTTTGTTTTGTTTGTTTTGTTTCGCTTGACGATTTTTGTTTTTGTTTGAGCCATGTCTTGGTTTGGTGATAATCATGTGTAAGTTGCATTGATGTCAAGATGACAGCATTAACTGTTATGCAAAAATTAAAATGAAATGAAATGAAATAAGATAAAACAAAAACAAAAGTAATAATTTAAAGAAAACAAAAAAGAAACAGAAAACAAAACAACAAAACACCACCACCACCACACCAACAACAACAACAAAACAGAAGATTGAGGCTACACACGACTCACGCCAGTCTGTGGAAAAATCCGTACTCGAACAGGAAGAGCAAGCTGGCGTAGAACACACACTGCAGTGCCAGAAGCAAGATGTTCCGACCAATGGCAGGAGACGACAGACTTAATGTGTCTGACTCAAAATCCAGGCAGAAATCTCCGCAGTTTCCTAAAGTATCGAGCAGGTTTCCGTTTTACCGTGTTTTATAGTGCAATTACGAAAGGTATAAAAATACATTTTTCGAGCAAAAGTAATACAACGAATAAATAGATACATTATAAAAATCAAAAGTCAGGGGTGAAGAATAATATTATGCATCGAACGAGTTAACTTGCTGTATTCGCTCGAGGGGTCTTGAAAAAGGACAGATGCCCCCAAAATAAACATCACATGAGGCAGTTCTTAATATGTTAGCCCCACTGTATTCGCTGTAGGGGACTGGAAAAACTACAGATGCCCCCACAATACAACATCAACCAAGATAGTTGGTTAGTTGGTATAAAGTTTGCGTCAGCTTAAAGTTAAAGGAGATTCACTGTGTAAATAAGCACAACAACAAAATTTGTACCTTAGTTATTTTTATAATGCACGCTTCCTTTTGTCATACTACTTCATAACAAGAATTAAACATGTTGCAACCCTCATCATTAAACTCAAAAGTAGTGAGTAAATGGATCTGTCTTGTATTGGGCTATTGTATCCGGCATGATTGAAACAATGGTGGTGTGGTTAATAATAATTTAAAAAAAATAAAAATAAAAATAAAAATAATAATAAAA